GCAATCAATGAATACATAAATAAGTGAAATAACACACCTCCCTCCCTCCCTCTCCCTCTCTTCCTCCCTCCCTTCCTCTTTCTCTTCCTCCCTTCCTCCCTCTAAAATCAATAAATAAAATAAAAATGCAACTGATTTCTGGGTATTAAAAAAAAAAAAAGAAGTTTCCTTTGTGTTCTGACATAACTACAGTAGGATCATAGACACTCCTTAGAAAAATAACCCATATACATCAGCAAATGGAGAGGAAGCAAACGGGAAAATAGCCAAGTGTCAAAATTTGGGTGAGAGGTAAGAGGGGTGAGAGGAACGTTGTCTCACATAAGCCTCAAAATCTCTGTTTTCCCTTATCTTTCTTTTCTACTAAATGTTCAGTCAATATTTTTCCTCTAGAGATCCACCAAAAGATTTGTATCCAAGCATATGAGCATGACCAATAGACACAGACAATAGGGGGTGGGGACATGTGCTGGGGGTAGGAGATGAGGAGAGGTCAATGAGGGGGAAAGGAGATACATGTAAAATTTTCAATAAAAAAGAATTTTAAAAAAAGAATATAATGGAGCTGAAAAACTCCTATTGCCCAGTGACATCATAACTGTCTTAACACTATGCACAACTCACTATCATGTGTTTTGTGGTAATGCTGGTGTAAACAAACCTACTGCTGAACAAAAGTGTAACACATACAATAATACTTGATAATGATAATAAACAACTATGTCACTAGTTAAAAAAAATTATTCCTCTAATCTCGGATTTCCTCGTCCAACATATTTTTCCTATATTTCTACTTTGACAATGGAATTGTACACTTCTAATTTTTTCCATGCCTTTCTTTGTTCATAGTTTTCAGGGCTAGACTCAGTCTCAGGCAGAAGAGAGAAATACTAAGTTATTTGCCTCTTTCTACAACATGACAAAGCTGTCAAGTGAGCAGGTAATAGAAACCAAATAGCCCTAGCTGGCTTGGCTCAGTGGATAGAGCATCAGCCCTCAGACTGAAGGGTCCCAGGTTCAATTCCAGTCAAAGACATGTACCTTGATTGCAGGCTTGATCTGGTACAGGCAGGAGGCAACCAATCGATATCTTTCTCACATCCATGCTTCTCTCTGTCTCTCTCTCTCCTTCCCTTCCGCTCTCTTAAAATCAATGGGGAAATATCCTCAGGTAAGGATTAGCAGAAAATAAAGAGAAACCAAATAATAGGGATTTATTCCCACGATATGGTAAGTTATGACAACTTCGAATCAAATGGTTCCCAGAATATGTACATATATGGATGCACACACACTCACAAAACGTGGGGGGGGAAGTCTCAGACTTTTTTTTTTTTTTTAATCAATCTTTATTGTTCATATTATTACAAAGGTTCCTCATTTCTTCCCCCCTCCACCAGGTTCCCACCCCACCCTCCGCCCCCTAATCCATAGGTGCACAGTTTATGTTCAGTCAGACTTTTGTTTTTAAATAGTGCAACTGAAACAAAGACATTTTCTCTCTGTAAAAATTCTAACTGCTACCCTACAGGATTTGTTATGCAATTATTTGATCAAACTACCACATTCTAGAACCAACTCCCTCCCGTCAAGACCAAAATTCAATGCCTCAAAATAACAAAACAGCCGGGACCCGTTTGGCTCAGTGGATAGAGTGTCAGCCTGCGGACTGAAAGGTCCCGGGTTCGATTCTGGACAAGGGCATGTGCCTTGGTTGCGGGCACATCCCCAGTGGGAGGTGTGCAAGAGGCAGCTGGTCGATGTTTCTCTCTCATCGACGTTTCTAACTCTCTGTCCCTCTCAATTCCTCTCTGTGTAAAATCAATAAAAATATATTTAAAAATAATAATAAATAACAAAACAGTGCGGAACACTTGTTTGGTTCCTTATTTGCAAAAATACTAATGGTCCAGTACACAATGAACAAAATTCACATTTGTTTTGTTATTGGTGGCTTAGTTCTAAATGCTTAGCCTTTTCAGGAAGTACAGCATGTTTATGAAGACTGAAGGGCTAAGGATGTCTAGCAGAGTAACTCTATGCCTTCTGACTTCTTCCTCATGTGCACAAACCTGGGACCCAAAAAGGGTAAAGTGTGATCAGTACATGTTATACTTGGAATCAGAATATTTTATAACTTATTTCATTTGCACGTTCAATGTTCCAATCACTGTTCTAGTTACTGTAAATAGCCCAGAAGACAGAGAGGTCCCAGCCATCAGATAACTTATAGCACAGCTAGACGGAGGAAAACACCATAAACAAAGAAAAGAATAAGCTAGATAATTAACTGATAGTGCAGATAGGAGTTGGATTTATTTCTTAGTGTAACAAGAAGCTACTAGAGCAAGAAACTAGGTAAAGATCATGCTGATTGCTGTTTGAAAATGGACTGTAGGAGAGTAAGACGAGAGGCAGGCACCAGTTAGGAAGCTACTACCCAGTAAGAATTGGGATGGTGCCTTTAAAAACAAACTAAACTAAAAATACTCGGCACATATTTTGGAGGTAAATTTATAGATTTTGCTGGTCATTCGTGTGATAGGCGAGGAGTGAGGCAAAAGAATTAATTAAGAACGGATACCGGATTTTTCACGTAAGTAGTGTGGAGGAGGGGAGGAGGCGGTGCTCTTGTGAAATGGAGACTGCTGGGAAAGAAAGAAGTTGAGGGATGGAAATCAAGAGCTCTACTTTGAACATGTTAAGTTTAAGATGCCTACAGACAAAATAGATAAAGATGTCATGTAGGCAAGTAGAAGAAATCTGAAATTCAGGACCCGAGATAAAAATCTGAGAGTAAACAATACATTGAGAGTATTTAAATCATAGAGCATGTTTGATAGGATCATCCAGAAGTATAGATAGAAGAAAAAAAAAGTAGAGGGGCAAGCTTGAAAACTCTGAGGCATTAGAATGTTTGAATTCAAGAAGAGAAGAAAAAGTCAACAAAAGAGAGAAAGAGTAAAGAAAAGGGCAAATATAATAATATCCTTTATATGTATAATACGATCCGCTAGTCCACCACCATCCTCCCAATCTACTGGTCACACACACACACACACTCAAATTCCATTAATTATAAAAATATATACATAAATTGAGGTCCAGAAAGACTCCAGCTTTTTAGGACTCATGTTCAGGCCTAGAACCAAGATGTGACTTCTGACCCCTAGCCTTTGCACAGTAGCTAACAGCACTTCTACTATTGGGTTCACTAGTCTAAAATTAGACAACAGGGAAGATCATCAGTTAGGAAGAATACAATTAGACTACAAGGAAGAACATAATTTAAACGGTAAAGCTCACTTTTAATTATTTTCTATGTGTTTTGTTCACATTCACAAAGAAACTTGGATCACAGGTGTTTATAAATGAGTCGCTAGGAAAAGCAAGAAATACAGACAAGAGGTGCAAAATGGCAATAAACCCAACTCAATATTCTCCACTTCTAAAAAAATAACCTGAAGGTAGAAGACACTCATCCGAGCGTGAAACAGGGATGTAAAACAAAAGTTCTTTGTTTTTAGTCATTTTTGCTTTAGTGATTACCAGTCCAGTTTTAAAGCTTAAGGGCTTTACTTTCTTGCACATCTGCCTCCTGAAACTAGGTTAAGATTTGTAACCTGAACACCCACCCCCTCCTATGCTACATGATCATGACTTAAACAGTTCTGCTTTTTACCATAAAAATCTTGGAGCATAGCATAAAAAATCCCCAAGTGATTAATGAACTGCTGAGAATTCTGACTCGCTGGAGATGATTTAATTAGGAATCATATTTCCAAACATTCATTCAGGGCTTCAAAAATAAGTACTCATCTAATTTAATTATGATGACTTCACCAGACAGTAACACTGCCCACGACGATGTTTACAGAAGCACTTGTCACTCCCTTCGGATGTAGCAATGCAGAAAAAGAAAGAAAAAAAAAGTCTGTTTCCATATTCCTCGTGTGTGCTTATACTCTGTAACAAGTGACAGAGTTTAAGTGTCACTTAAGATTATTGAATCAGCAAAGCACTTCAAGTGTGTGCGTCCCGCCATCTTCCATCCTAAAGCGAATCCTTAAACTCGCTGGCTGGGTTTTTATTCCAGCAACAGTTTCCCACTCGGTACAACGAGACAGGTATCCCAAGGCAACCGAAGCAGAAGACTGCAGGCAGGATTCTAGGATGAGGCTGGAGGGTTCTCATGCCACTCCCAACATTCAACAGTCGCCACGGGGGTGGCTGCAAACCCCCGAGTTCTTCCCCAATAGTGTGCCCTCCAAGCGTGCCCGCGCGGCCAGGAATCAGCAACAGCTGACACAAGAGGATGCACCAGGGTTTGCTCCTTAACAGCCTACCGTTCACCGATCACCTGCTGTTCGGCCTTGCACACCTTTCTAGTCTATCCTCACAACAAACCTGTGAATTTACGTATTATTCTTCTTCCCATGAACAAAACTGGGCACTTGGACCCAAGGCCCCAGGGCTGATCGGTGGCGGCACGAGGATTTGAAAACACGACCATATACCACCACCCCCCCCCCCCCCACAACAGTCCCGGATCTCTGCCCCTAAAAGACACTAAAAGGTACCCGAGAGTCGGGAGGCTCCGGAGCTGGCCGCGTAGACGCGGCGGGGGGCGGGGGGGGGGGAAGGACACCCTCTCCACAGTGACTCCCGTCCGGAATGCGACCGACTGCGCCGGCGGCCCGGGGCGCCCAGCGGCGTCGGTGCCGCGGGAGGCCGGGCAGCGCGGCTCACCTTGGAGAAACCTCCGGGAGGGCCGCAGCCGTCAAGCCAGGCGCCCCCGCGGGCCGGCGGGCGGGCGGGAGTCCTCCGAGCCGGGAGGAACCGAGGCGCGGGCACCGAAGTCGCCGGCACCAGGCACCACCACGGGCTGTGGCCAAGCCAGAGCACGCCGCCGGCCCGCTCGGGGGGAACCTCGCCCGCCGCGCCCGCGCCCGCGCCCAGCAGCCGCGCCGCATATCCGGGTCGCGCTCCGCCACACTCACCTGCCTGGCGCTCCGCCGCCGCTGCCGCCGCCGCCGCAGCCGTGGGCTCCCAGCTCGGCTGTGCGGTCAGCAGCCCAGACCGCCGCTACCGACCAGCTGCGGCGCTCCCATGGCTCCTCTCTCAGTCACCTCCCGCCTGCCCCGCGCAGCGCTACACCGTCCCGCCGCCCACGGCCATGGCCCGCCCCGTTCCTCCGCCGCCACCGCCGCCGCAGCCCCTAGCCGCTGCCGCCGCACCGACCGACGGAGCACGCGCGCGCCGCCGCCGTGGCCGCGCCCGCGCGTGCGCGCGCGCGTGATGACCCCGCCCCCGCGCGCCGTTCGGGCCAATCCCAGAGCCCGCAACGGCCGCCGCAGACCTACGGGGTGGGCGGGGCGGGGCGTGGTGGGGAGAAAGGAGTCTGCGGCCGGAGTCCTCTCGGCTGCCCGCCCGCCTGTCCCGCTGCTGCGCGGAGCTGCTGCTCCTTTTGCTGCCGAAGGACCGCAGGATGGGGAATCCCCGGCACGCAGCCCTCAGGAGACACCCGCCACCTGCCCCGGAGACCTCGCTGTGCCTGGCTCTCCTTGCCGACCGGCTCTTCGCGGCTCCTCTCCCTAATTCCATCCTGCGATTTTGAACAGACTCCTCGGCTCTTGAGCGCAGGCAGCACCCCTTCCCCTCTGTCTCTCCGGTTCTGGGATGGGAACCCTTGGTCAGTCCCCCCCCTACAGCCGGCCCTTCGTTCCTTGCCCTGTTAATGATCATAACAGAAAAAGTTTAGCCTTTTAAGCCCAAGATTCTTCTCCTGTATTTCATGGTGGCGATAACAACAGCTAACATTTGCTGCAGAGCCTTATGGTTGACCCAGCCCTTACCTTTGAAATGTCATGGCCATCTTTCTTAGTGGCACACTCGAATGTTGTTTATTGAAAACCAAAAGTTTAACTTATTGTAAAGCTAGTATTTGTAACGTGATTGTAACTTACTACTATAATAGCTCAGGCAAATAGTTTAGTCTGGGATAGAATCTAGAAGTAGAACCAAATATAAAGCAAAGGTGGCTTGATAAGTGATCTTAATTTTAATAAATCAAAAATAGAACCATGCCATATTAAAAAATAAATTCCAGGAGAATTAAAGATATAAAATATACAAATTAAAAACTTAGAGGAATATTTTTAAAGAATAGTAATATCACTCTGGTGAGGGGAGACTTTACGCAAGACAGGAAGCCCAGACTCATTAAAGAAAAAATAAAAACATTTGTCTCTATAAATATTTTTAAAGTTTTGCGTGACATCACAATGACAAGACAGGTTTAAAAAAAAAAAACAATAGACGGAATAGAATACACAAAACATATGGCAAGCACATTGTATCTCTAACATAAAAGAGTTTCTATAAATGGACTTTTTTAAAAAGCTGAATAGCTCAATGTTTTAAAAATATGGACAAAGTATACAAGCAGGCAATCAATAGAAGATAAAATCCAAATCTGAAAGATACTTATTTCACTAATAGTCATAGAAAAGAAAATTAAGAAATTAAGGTTTCTCTCATGTTGTCAAACATTTAACAAAAGCAAACATGATACAAATGGAAACAAGCCCTGGGACACAGCTGATGGAAATGTAAATTGACACAAACTCGGAGAATATCTATTAAAATTTAAAATACACATACCTACTCACTGGGGGGGAAATTAACTCTGCCCTGTAGCAGAACTACAGAAATTACCAGTTGTAAGGATATACACAACGATGTCACGGTGGATTGAACATTGGTCCTCTAAATAAATATATGTGCACCTGGCACCTGTGAGCATATAGACTTATTTGGAAATATCTTTACAGGTGTAATTAAGTTAAGGATCTTGGAATGAAATCATCCTAGATTTAGGGTGGGTCATGAATCCAGTGGCAGTGGCCTTGTAAGAGAAAGGGAAAGGCAGAGGAAGATTTGAGATACAGAGATGCAGACACGAAGATGGGAAGAATGAGGCAGAGATGGGAGTGGTGTGTCTACAAGCTGAGAATGTGAGGGATTGCTGGCAGCTGCCAGAAGGTAGGAGAGGGGCATAGAAGGGATTCTCCCTCAGAACCTCTAGAAGGAATGACACCTTGATTTCAGACCTCTGGACTCCAGAACTGTAAGAGAATAAATTTCTGCTGTTTTAAGCCACCCAATTTGTGGCGATTTGTTAAAGCAGCCCAAGGAAACAAGTACAGATGCGCATTGTATTACTTGTAATGCAAAACAAACACAAACAAGTTTGGAACAACCTGATTGGCATAGGTAATGGAATCCATGAATCAAACGTACGGTACGGCCTCTGTACTATGGGATATTATGCAATGACAAAAGTGAGTTAGACCCAGAGGGATGTCCATAATATATTGCTAAAGTGTAAAATGCACTTTTTAGAGTGATAAAGAGTGGTATGATCCCGTTAGTATATTGCTGACCATTTTTATACATATTCATAGGAACATAAAGAAAGGGGAGGAAGAATTTACACTAGGCTGATCACACTGAATGCCTAGAGTGTGAAAGAGAAGGGTGTGAGTGGGAGGGAGTTCTTTTTCTTTATAGGTCTTTGAATTATCTTAATTGTTATAACCAGTGTATGTATTATCTTATTATTTTAATCTAATAAATGTAGTTTTAAAGGGGAAAAATTTGTGACTAATTCTTTAAAAAAAAAAAAAAAATACCCCAACCAGAGAGTAAGGGAGGGAGAGAGAGAGAGAGAGAGAGAGAGAGAGAGAGAGAGAGAGAGAAACACCAATGATGAGAGAGAATCATTGATCGGCTGCTTCCTGCATGCTCCCCCACTGTGGATAGAACCCGAAACCCAGGCACGTGCCCTGACCTGGAATGGAACTGTGACCTCCTGGTTCATAGGTTGACACTCAACCACTGAGCCATACCTGACAGGCTGTGACTAATTTTGTTGTTTTTGCTGTTGAGCCTCGCCCAAGGATATTTTTTCCATTTATTTTTAGAGAGAGAGGAAAGGAGGGAGAGAGACAGAGAGAGAAAAACATCAATGTGAGAGGGACACATGGATTCCTTGCCTCCCACACAGGCCCCAACCAGGGCTGGGGATCAAGACTGCAACCATGGTACGTGCCCTTGACTGGGAGGAAGCCCATAACCCTTTGGTCTGCAAACCGATGGTCTAACCACTGAACCCACTGACCAGGGCTTTCTTCAATTTTAGAAGATTCATTTGTTCACCTTGACACACACACATACACCCCCCCCCCCACCCTTCTCACCACTGAGTTCTGAACTACACTTTCAATATATAATGCTCTTTTGGCATTTCCCCCCCTTTTTTTCAAATACTTCTGAGTATTTCCTAGATTCATAGAATTTTTAAATTTTTCTTTTTAGAATTTGAGTGCCTTCATTTCTTTGTGTAAGTAATATATTCACATGGTTTGAAATCCAAAATGTACAACCAAATATCCAGTAAAAAGTCTCCTTCACAGACAACTAAGAAGTTATCCAATGTTGCTATTTTCTTGAGTATCCTTCCAGAAGTATTGTGTGTATATATATAAGCAAACACAGATATATATATATTTCCCCATTTTTAAATTAAACATTTTTTATTGATTTGAGAGAGAGAGAAACATTGATTTGTTTTCCACTTATTTATGCATTCGTGCTTGTTGATGCTTGTATATGCTCTCACTGGGGATTGAACCCGCAACATTGGTGTATCAGGACCATGTTCTAACCAACTGAGCTACCCAGTGAGGGCATAGTTCCCCATTTTTTGACACAAATTGCAATACTTGATTTATATGTGGTTTGTTGTTGTTTTTTTCTTTCTATTTTTAAAATATATTTGTATCGATTTCAAAGAGGAAGGGATAAAGAGAGAGAAAAAAAACATCAATGATGAGAATCATTGATCAGCTGCCCCTTGCACGCCCCCCTGGGGATGGAGCCTGCAACCCAAGCATGTGCCCTGACTGAGAATCAAACCGTGACCTCCTGGTTCAACCACTGAGTCACGCCAGCCAGGCTATACTTGTTTTGTTTTTGTGTTTGTTTGTTCTTTCATATATATATATATATCAGGTTGTTTTATATCAGTGCATATAGATTTTCTGTATTATTTTTAAGTTTCTGTTGGTGTATAAAAAATATACAAAAAACTGCACTTCATAATTTTTCACATATCAAACACACTTGTATCTTACACAGTTCCTAAATCAAGTAAAGAGAGTAGAATGAATATCTCTGACCCCAGTCACTGCCCTGCCTCCAGGGGTAACCACTATCCCAGCTTCTAACTTCCTGTTTTTAAACTTCAATCAAATAGATTCATGCAGTGTGTGCTCTTTTTGGGTTTGGTTTCATTTGCTCTACATTTCCTCCACATTATTTTAAGAGTCATACACTACTGCAATAACAGGGCTTGGGTCATTCTTTGCCATATAGTATTTCATTATATCTGTCTTCTATTTTATGGCTATGTAATATTTCACTGTAAAGATATTCTATAACTTATTTATCTGGACCCTTATTGATGGATATTTAGAATTTATTTATATTTATATTTATATTTATATTTATATATTATTGATTTTTTTTTTTTTTTTTTTTTTTTTTTTTTTTTTTTTTTTTTTTTTTTACAGAGATGAAGGGAGAGGGATAGAGAGTTTGAAACATCAATGAGAAAGAAACATCGGATCAGCTGCCTCCTACACATCTCCTACTGGGGATGTGCCCACAACCAAGGTACATCTCTTGACCAGAATAGAATCTGGGACCCATGAGTCTGCAGGCCAATGCTCTATCCACTGAGCCAAACCGGTTAGGGCTGTTTCCAATCTTTTGATATACAAACCTGCAATGAACAACCTTGAATTTATATCGTTTGCACATGTGCAAGTATAACTACAGAATAAATTCTTGGAAGCAGAATTTCTGGGTCAACAGTTATAGGTATATGTAATTCTCAAGGATATTACCAAATTACCCTCCGTAGAGGATGGACCCTGTATACTCCTGCCAGCAGGGTATTAGAGAGCTTTCTTTCTTGGAATTTTGGAGCTTGGATTTTGGAGACTTAAAGGTCACATTGTACAGCCCACTCATCTTACACAGAGGAAAAATTGAAGCCCTTAAGGGCGAGAAGACTCGT